CTTGTGGATATTCTGAGGTTTGGTACCTCGTGGTGATTATTGGATAAAAACCTGATGTGAAAGTGGTTATTCTCATCTAGTTGTTGTATGCCCTTCTTTTAATTGTGATCACCGGATTTAGACTGTGTTCAGCTTACTCTACTGTGTTATTACTTGTTGTGTTCCGCTGCTAATTATTGTTTCTATTTCTTATTGCAAGTTCCATATTATCGTCGTCATTATGCGTTGTTTTATAGATATATCGTATTCTGCTAGTACTACACTTATATTTGCTCATATTATTTAGTCTAGTAGGTATCTTGACTGTTCCTCGTCAATACTCCACTGAGGTTAGTCTTGATACTTACTGGGTAGCTCTGTGGTGTACTCATACAACGCTTCTGTACAATTTTTGTGCAGATCTAGGTAAACTCAGAGTTCGTCGATTGTTAGCTAGCTGTACGGATCTTGCTGGGGAGACTCAAAGTAATCCTGCTACTGCATTTGCAGGCTTCAGAGTCATCTTCTGATGTTGGTTTTACGTTGTTTACCTTATTTCAAAACAGTTATATTTAGAGGTTTCTAGCAAACTCTGTAGAGCTTATGACTTGAACTATCGGTTTTGGGATTGTAAACTTTGTATTGAGATTTCTTCTCCATATTTGTAAATCGTTATTTTTTTTGTTGGTTATTTGAGTAAATGTTAGGCTTACCTAGTCCCCAAGACTAGGTGCCATCAAAACCTCCTACGGAGGGAGATTTGGATTGTGACAGCACATAACAATAATCACAAATCGCACGATAAGACCTCGTGCATCACCCAGTCAATCCACCCAATATGTCCACATGTGCCACAATTATCACAAAGTAATATGCCAAATTTTCATAAAAAAATATATACCCATAATTTATTAATAAGATACATAAGGGTATAAAAATAATAAAATGCGGATTGATGTTCAACATATAAAGCATAACTACGACTAAATTAGTTGTAACAATCAAGTTCATGTAGTCACGAAGTGATTAAACATGGTTCATATAAACCATTCCATCAAATTAAGGCATATTGATAGCTTAAGGTCTATTCCTGTCATAAACCACAGATAGCACCCGTGTACACACTCGTCACCTACATGCCGTTTTTCACATAACACGAAATAAGGTCAAATCATAAGGACGATCCCCCAATAAAAGGTTAGACAAGATACTTATCTCAAACAAGCCAAATCAATACCCCAAAAGTGCATTTCCTTTAAAAATCACCTCCATCCGGCTCAAATCTAGACAAAAATGACTCAATAATATCAAACAATGCTAAGCTGAGTAGAATTCGACAATGGGTTTGAGTCGGTGATTGTAAAACTTCCGTTTATCGATCTTGATTCGCGTTGTGTCGCCCAGGGCATAAGGAGCATGATGACTTGACGTCATCCTCACCTTCCTCCGGCTTATCACCGGCAGTATGGTTTCTGGGGGTGAAATTTGTGGCGTCAACCCATCGTTTATCATTTTTCTAATTTCTTATCTAGCCGAGTGTGAAAGTTTACCTTTTGATTTACCATAAACAGAAGAAACCGAGTAGTTGGATCATAATCTCTTACCATAAAATGGCTGCATGCGCGGCAGCACCAACTATGAGAAATCCACCAATCCACATGTGATGTGTGAATAATGAGAGTTGTGTACCTCAAAAATTTGGTTGTTGCGAATAGTGTATTAAAGCCACTTCCTTTGTTTGATCTTGATCTGCGGTATCAATATCTTTGGTATCAGTATCGTTATTCTGGTTGTTGGCAGTAAAAATCACTACACGTTTGGCTTTTCTTGAACGAATTTGATGATCCAATGGTACGCCCTCTTGATAGTCGTCCGTGAATCAATTCCAAATAATAAAGTCCCAATCTTTACCCAATTTTCAAAAGGTCAACAAAAGTCAACCATGGACCCACACGATCAAAATTTGAGTCAAGGGGTAGATTCTGACTACCCATAACCCCACGAGTCTAACTATGTGATTAAATTCCAAAATCGAACCCAAATCTATTCTCAAATCCCCAATTTTTATTTTTAAAAATATAGTTAAAAAAATCACAAAAATGCCCTTCCAAATTCTATGATTTAGGTGTAAAAATCCATGAGAAATCAAGATATAATATCAAAAATTAAGTGAAAATCACTTACCTAATAGCATTGTGTAAAAATCCTCTTCAAAAATCGTCTCTCACCAAGTCTAGGGCTCAAAATATAACCAGTTGCAGATGTGGCATCTGCGACCTGAGGTTCGCAAATGCGACCTCCGCAAATGCACCTTAGGCTCGCAAATGCGAACCTAGGCTGCCCCAGAAGATATGGCATATGCGAACCCCACTTCGCAATTGCGAATTCCCAGCCTCCTCGTCAATATCCCAATTATGACCATACCCCTCACAAATGTGATGTCCCCCTTAACGGCCAGCTATTCGCAAATGCGATAAGGAGTCCGCAATTGTGAGCAGATCCTCGCAAAATGCGAAGTCTGCAGCACTAGCAAAACTGAAGCTATTCCCAAACTTATCTGAAACTCACCCAGCCCCTCGGGCCCCATACCAAACATTCATACAAGTACATAAACCCTAAATAGACTCGCTTGCAAGCTCAAAAACATAAAAATGACATACGAAACCCCGAATCGAACACCAAAATGCATCGTGCAAGCCTTAAAACTCAAGAACTTCAATATTCACAACCAAGCGTCCGAAACCTAATAAACCAATTCAGAATGAGACCAAACTTTGCACACAAGTTCCAAATAGTAAAACGGACCTATTCGAAGTCCCGAAACAACAATCTGAACCCAATAGCCATAAAGTCAACCCATGGTCAAACTTATAAAATTTCTAAACCTTCAAATTGCTAACTTTCGGCAAAATGAGCCAAATCATCGTAGGAACCTCCAAATTCAATTTCGAGCGTATGCATAAGTCTAAAATCACTATATAAACCTATTGGAACCATCAAAACATGAATCCGAAGTCGTTTATACAAAAGTCAAATCTTGGTCAACTCTTATAACTTAAGCTTCCCGTTATGGAACTAAGTGTTCTAATTCACTCCAAAACCTTTCTGAAACCAAACCAGCCATCCGTGCAAGTCATATAACAATAAATACACATACGAAAAGTATCAAATAAGGGAAACGAGCTCAAATACACAAACGGTCAACTAGATCGTTACATTGGAGCCTTTAAAGGAAATATATACATAAATTATAATTAAAAAACATTTAATTTTGATAATTAACAAATTTCAGTTAAACCAGATAAAATAGTTTGTAACATAGTACATATATAAAAAAATCGTAGAAATGGCATGTGGTAGCCACTATTTAATGTGGTATTTATTTTTTATCCAGCAATTCTAATGTTGAGCAAAAGTAGCCACTACTCTATTAAAATTAATATAAAAAGATATTTTTACCCTTTCTTCCCTTGCTTTTCTTTCCAAACCCTCGCTTCTCTCTCTGCATCAAATACATTGGAAATACTGGATTGTATCATTCGCTAGTTTCTTTGGAGACAAAATTCAGGGGTTGTGCAAAATATTCAAATACTAATAGCTGCTTACTGGAAATTCTCGACAAGATATTCAGATCAACACCAACAAATACCTTCAAAAACGTTTGCTCATCCTACTACGGAAACGTCCACAGCAAAAAATGCATCAATCTAGAATGACTATGCTTACAATTACAATATTAATTCTTTTCCTATTACTCTATTGATCCTTCAGTAAAATGATGGTTACCAGGAGGAGATGCTTCCCCTTAAACAGTGAAAGGGTGGTTGATCTTGAGTTTTAGTTTCCTGAACTTAGACTAACAAGCTCAAAAGTTAAGGACAATAGGTCCTGAACTTACAGTTACATGTTCAAAAGTTAAGGACAATAGGTTCTGAAGTCCTGAACTTAGACTAACAAGCTCAAAAATTAAGGACAATAGGTCCTGAATTTAGGCTAAGAAGCCCAAAAGTTAAGGACAATAGGTCCTGAACTTAGACTAACAAGCTCAAAAGTTAAGGACACTTGGTCTTGAACTTACAGTTACAAGTTCAAAAGTTAAGGAACATGTAGTCGTGAAGTTAAGTTCAAAAGTTAAGGACATGTAGTCCTGAAGTCCTGAAGTTAAGTTCAAAAGTTAAGGACATGAGCAGAAGGGTATTTTCGTCTGGGCAGTTAAAGTTTATTAAAGCAGTGGCTAAAGACTAAAGACATTTTAAACGGTGGCTTAAAAGTAAATACATGTGTTATTAGTGGCTAACCGTGCACTTCCCCCAAAAAAAGTCCTCATTGCAATATTAAGCCCAGCAGATCTAACTCAATTGGACCTATCAAATAAACCCCAGCCTATTGGGCCTAATATACATTATCCAATCCATTCTCCCTCTACCCGAAAGATTTTCAGATAGAAAGAATTACAAGAAAATACATATGACTTCACACCATAACAAAAAATGGCTCATGTTTTTAAGTTTTACCCCACCTAGCCCACATTGTACATATTTTGAAAGCACTTGCAAATTCAAAATATATGTTTTTACAACAATTGCTTCTAAAAGCTATGGAGTTAATTCTTTGTTCTCACAACTATTGCTTTCACTCTCTCTTCTTCTCACATCTTTTACATATGCTTCAAAGGACCGTGTATTTTCTGCTTCTCCTCTTGTGTCACCTGCTTGTAATGAAAGAAAATTGAAGAGTAGAAGTCCACCATTGAAGATCATTCAAAGCTTTGCTTTTGAAAATGGGTTATTTTGAATTTGTTAGTTGTTTGGATCGGGTATTGTTCCAATTGATTGAAAATATCAAAAGGAGTACATTATCCAATATTAAGCCCAGCAGATCTAACTCAATTGCAATATTAAGCCCAGCAGATCTAACTCAGTTGGACCTATCAAATAAACCCCAGCCCATTGGGCCTAATATACATTATCCAATCCATTCTCCCTCTACCGGAAGGATTTTCAGATAACACAAAATCAGCAAATCCAGAAATGCCATCTCACTCATCCCCTTATCCCTTCCCCGCTTCCTCACCACACCACTGATACAATCAATACACATTTCCTCAGCACCACTTCCCCATTTTCCCAAAAAAACAAACCATGTGAAATCACCATGCAAGAAACTCTCCATCTTTCTTCTTCATCTTTTTCCCTTCCTAAATCCTCCATTTCTCCGCCCAAAGCCCTCAAATCCACTACCATTTCTTTCCCTCCTCACCCCAAACCACCCACCCCCATCTCCCCTCAACTCTCCTCCGCCACTTCTCTCCCTCCACCTCCAACCACCTCCCCTAACTTCCAGCTCCAAGAGAAACTCCTCTTCTTGGATTCTCTTGGCATAGACTCTTTCCATTGCCTCACTTCGCATCCCCTTATTATCTCCTCTTCCTTATCCGATCTCAAATCAATTATTGACTTTCTTTACTCCATCAATCTCACCATTCTTGATATCCGGCGCGTGCTACACATGTGCCCGGACATTTTAACCACACCACTTTCCTCCATCCTCCGCCCCGCCGTCACCTTCTTGCTCCGGGAAGCTCACGTCACCGGTGACAATCTTCCGTTTGTTCTCCGCCGCCGCCCCCGGCTGCTCACCAAATCCGTAGAACAGAGTCTTCGACCCACCCTTTACTTCTTGCAGAGTACTATTGGTATTGAAGATGTTTCAAAGTGCGCAACTTTACTCTCTTGTTCTGTGGAAACTAAGTTTATACCCCGTATGGATTACTTTCAGAGAATTGGGTTTTCGAGGAGAGATGCGAAAGTGATGTTTAGGAGGTTCCCATCGTTGTTCTGTTACAGTATAGAGGAGAATTTGGAGCCGAAATTCGATTACTTTGTGGTGGAAATGGGGAGGGAGTTGAAGGAATTGACTGTGTTCCCTCAGTATTTCTCGTTTAGCTTAGAGAAAAGGATAAAGCCGAGGCACAGGATGTGTGTTGAGAAAGGGGTGTGCTTGTCATTGCCTGTGATGTTGAAGTCACACGAATCGCGATTTCGTGATAGGTTGGATGTGTGTTGTAGCTCTTCTATGCCGGTGAGAGCTTCTCCCTTTTGGTGTACAAAATTTGATCATAATGTAACATAGACTGTTCTACTTAAAAGGAAAAAGGAAAATGGAAAACCATATTGCCATTTTGTTTATAAAAATATATCTTTGATGATCATTTTGTTCTTACCTATTTCCTGGTGGTATAATTCTTGTTAGTTTTGTACTAGTCTAGTTTGTATATATTCAAACTTGCTTGGGATCAAAGTATAGTTGTTATTTGTGTTAAGTATTGTGGTTTGATTGAATATGTGGTAAGTAATGATTGATAATGTTCTACTAGGAGTCGAAGCCAGGTCGCTGCTGGATTTAAAGTCCAGAGTGCTAAACCACTAAACTATAGAACCAAGTTAATTGACTATGTGGTAAGTTAAAAGAGGGAGAGTTTTTGTTTTAGGTAAAAGATGTTTATTATGAAAGGCCAACTTTTTTAGTTCTTCTACAGGGAGAACGATTGACAGTGTTCGAGGTTGATTGACTTTGCTTTTTGTAGTGTTCTTTTACTGAATAAGCAGCAGCAGGTGTAATATCTATTTGGAAAATTGTTGCCCATTGTACATGAAGAAACTAGTAACACAATAAGCATGGAGTTGAGATACATGACAATTCCTTGATCAAGCAATGCAAGTAAGGGTGTTAAGATGCTAGGATGGGGTGTTGATTTTAGGTTTGAAGCATTTGTTTTATTTCTCTTCCCTACAATTCTACCTTAGTCGTATGAAATTATAAAATTTAACAGGTTATATTTTAGTGATCCACTTTTCGGATAATCTCTGGCTCTGTATGACAATTGCAAGGCTTGTTTATGAATGGGTGTCTATTTCAGTGTTGAAGACGTTTCTCTGCTAAAATGGTTATTACTTTGTGTAGGAAAGTCCAGTTTCAAGTGTTGAAGACTAGCCTTCAATGGGTTACTACAATCTTCATTCAGATTTCATTGTTTCAGTCACCTCATTCAGATTTCATTGTTTCTTTTAGAGTTAATATCCTAAAACCCGCCTAAACCATACAATCTTTGTCAGTTGCCTACCTAAACTATCACATGTTCCCGAAAACCTCCTGAACTATATTCTCCTTCATAATAAAACTCCCTCGGCGCATTCTTACTAGTGCGTGTAATACACTCTCCAAATTATTTTTAAAAATCTGCCACGTGGCAATCTATATGAATATTTGTTTATCTTCATCTTAAAAACAGACTTAATTAGTATTTTAATGCTTTTTATTATATATCATTACAAAAAAATTACATGGTAAAAATAAAAAAGGGGGCTAGGGTTAAAGCTAGTGGGTCAATTGAAAAATTCATTTTCTCTTTGCTCTCATCGGAGACTTGCTCTCAATGGGGAAAGGCTACACTAATCTGTCACTAGCGATTTTGTCCATTAATCTTGGTTCTAACCTCGATTGCATTGTCTATTCTTGCTTCCATTCAAAAATGGGGATAAAAACTAGGGTTTCTGCTCCTAAATCGGTATAAAAGATTAGGGTTTTAATAGACCTAAATTATGAAGATTGTTGAAAGGAGATACCAAAATTGTTAAAGAATATAGCTACACATAGCCAATAGGTCCTATTTTTTTTATTCCCTAATTTCTTGAAAGGTGTTAAACCTTATGCTCTACAAATACTTGAAGGGGTGTTCCTTCTTTCAAATAAATTTAGGTAAGAAATGAATGATGGCTATAAGAAATAAAATGAGAAACAATAAGAGAGAATCTCAGATGGATTCAAATGAAGAAATAGAGAGAAAGGTGAAAAAATGGAGAAGAAAGGTATAAAAATGAGGAAGAAAGGTAAAATATAAAGAAAAAGAGGAGAAAATAAAAAGAAATATAAATTCTAAAAAAGAAGGGCTAATTAGCTGTTAGACATGCCATTTGAATGGCTTTTTTTAGCCTTCATGCGCTCTTAGACGATTTATTACACACATAATGTCACTTAAGCGATGATGGTTTTTTACTATGAAGAGGGATATAGTTCAAAAGGGTTTCGAGAACAAAAGATAAATTAGGTAGGTACCTGACAAAAATTGTAGAGTTTAGGGAGTTTTACCAACTGATCAGGAGGCTGGAATACATTTGCAATCTTAAAGGCCACCTCCTAATTGATACTGGGACGCTGCAGCCAGTGTTCATATATTAATGGAATTTGAACTTAATATGTCTTTTTTTTTAACATTTCATCTTGTCCACTAAGTCAAAGTTCAATTGGAAAACTTCACTTCTTATGCACCATATAGATTTTCATGTCACCGATCACTTGGTTTCTATGTATCTTAAAGGTTTCATTAATTTTGGGTTCAACTGTATCTTCTTTTTCTTCCTTTTTCTAGTGGATTAGTTTTAACAGCAGCAATAAATTCAGGATTTAGAGTATTTTGATTCAAAATATATGTAATCTCATTTTAAGAATACATTTTTCATATTTTATTTTTGCATATACATACATATTTTATTTTTGCATATACAACAAATGTTTGGGTTTGGTCTACTGCTGTATAGCAATGAAGTTTTGCTCTTTTCTAAAAGGAATAGAAGCTTGCTTTGGCAGCATTGACTATTGTGGAAAATAATAGAGCAACCTTATAAAGCATTAATTATTAAGTGGGAAATAAAAAAAATGAATGAGATGTCTCCCCACACCCCCTCCTTTTTTAATTTGACAATTTTAAAATGCTAAAATTGGCATGCGAAGTCTTCTATTAGCGCCCCTAGCACTTTTATCACACATCCCTTTCCAAGAGGAAAATTTTATTTCTGACATTTTTTTGTGCTTGTAGGAGTGAAAGATATAAAATAGAAAGAAGAAAAAAAAATACAAGTAGTTAATTAGTTAATTTGTTATGGTGTATTATATGTGGTATTTTAGGAACTTGTAACAAATTATCAATGGTGTCAGTAGGAATTGAACCAATGACCTAATAAAAGTTTTTGAACCACCTTAAACACTAAGTTACCCTTTTTGATTGTGTTAAGTGGATTTAAAATATAATATATAGAGGTACAAAATGAGTTTTGCCTTATATTTACGTGTAATTTCCAGACAAAGGAAAACCCTCATGCACCCCTAAATTTGCCCTTGCAAATTATAATTATAATAAGGGATAAAAAGAAAAAACTCAGTTTATCTCTTGGCCTTACAAGTATTCACAACAACCACTTCTCCCCCACTCAAACATCCAACCTAACATTTGGCCTATTTGAATTAATTTTAAGATTTAGTGCATAGCTCAATAGTGTTATCTAAATAAGACATGATTGGTTTGTCAGTGTGTAATTTCTGATCTTGAAAGCGCATTTGAACTTTCTTGTAATATTAGCAAAATAAAAATCTTGAGGGTAAAAGTCACAAAATCTTTTAAAAATCCATAACAAAGTACATTGTTGGGATTTAATAATAAGAAATGTTTATAAGATAGTGTTTTTATATTAAAATTTTGTTTCTTTTATATAATTTTCGAACATAAAGATCAGGAATACATTTAGTAATTACAATATAATTACGTGAAATTAACATAAACAAATATTTTGTTAAATAAAGAGATACATTGAGGATAACATATTTCCCAAATTCTATTTGTCATTATTCAAAAATTCCTTTCCTTCTTCAACATATTTGTATGAACAACTATTGCTGCTAAAAATAATTAAAACAAGAGGATAGAAAATCATTTACAAGTTAAAATACCATTCTTAAAATAATTAAAACTTTGCATTTGACATCTTTAAAGAACACTTTCATTTGCATTTTCATCACATATTATGCTGTAAACCCCTTCAAATTTGGTTCTACAATATTTCTTTTGTTCATATTAGAAACATGAGATTCTAGCTTCCATTTCTAAAAATGAAAAAAAAAATCTAAAAAACTTTATGAATCATACCAAAAGGGTCAAATTGGGAACAATATAATCCCCAAGGGCCAAAATGAAAAACCAAAATAAAGAAAAAACATTTTGCATGTTAATGTTTTTTTCTCTTCCCTCCACATCTATCCAAAACCAAAATTCCCTCCCTTCCCTCGTTTTCTCCTTTTCTTCCTTCCCTTCCAAAACCCCTTTCCCCCATTTCCACCCCAACCACCCACCCCCTATACCCACCACCCCTTCTCTAAAACCCTTCTCTTCTTACAATCCCAAAAATCTTCAGCTTAAAGGGTATCCATTCCATGTCTTTTGATACAAAAATGACAGGTCCAGATGCACCACCCACTGGTGTGGCGGCGCCACCGGCTGCTCAGTCATCATCCGCCGCCGTGAACGGCGGAGGGAGGAGTCAGATCTCCCAGCCGATCAAACGATACCTGCCCTTTACTTCTATGAGGCCGCCGTTTGTTAGTCCTGAGGATTACCACCGATTTGGTGGTGTTGATTCTCGGATTGGGTCCCCTACTTTACAGCCTGATGCTATTGTTGTTAAGTCCCCTGTGAGTTGAATTAGATATTTTGTGGGGTATGATAGAATGTAGGGAAAATGGCGTAATTTTGTGTTTTATTGTTGCTATTTTGTGCATTTTGTGGTTACTCGAATTCTTGTTAACCTGCATTATTCGCATTTCATTGTGTGAATAAACTTTGAGCTAATTTATGTGGTTGAATTGTTGTTTGGAGCCTGGTATTGAGTTGGTTAAGTTAACAAATTTGCTTCAGGAACCATATGCTATAGCAAATTGCTTTTTTATTTTGAATTACCCAAGAGGTCATTTGCCTCTTCTTAGCTGAAAACTTTCGAACACTGCTGGATAAATTTGGTAAAAAAGAGTAAATGAGTGGAGTGAGTTGATTGTGAATTCTACTATTCTGCCATTCGTGTATGCACATGTGACAAGATTGAATAATACTCTAATATGCCCAAATCAAGAATATCTTTAGTCGGGTTTTGAGTAGTAACCCTAAATCAGACCTTTAGATAAACAGATTATTCTAGATACTCAAGTTTATCCCAGGGAATATTGAGAGTATCATCCCCTCATTTGCTATGTATTACTTGTTTATCACTTATGTAACTTATTTCTACTTTGCACACTTTATGCCCATGTAGGCACTAAAGCGGAAGGGTGGGATGGGCTATAAAGCAGTTGAGTCCGGTGACTGGACTGCTAATCCTGGGTATTCGGATGTGGCCAATAGTCCACTTGGAACACCAGTGTCTGGAAAAGGAGGAAGAGCAAATGGACGGTCAAGAGCCACAAAAAGCAATAAATCTGGACCTCCAACTCCTGTCTCTAATGTTGGTGAGGCTTGGTATCCAAACTTGTTTTGTCTTGTTTGTAACTGGATATATGTCAGGCACAAGTAAATATTCAAATTTTATTTCCTCTTGATCTATCTATAGGTTGCGACGTTACTAACATGGTTGCAGTGGTTAAATATTTTCTTAACAACTTTTGGATTGCAAATTTGTAGGTTCTCCTTCTCCTCTTACACCTGCAAGTTGCCGTTACGACAGTTCATTGGGTATTTAACAATTTTTTGCCCATGGATTGGTTTGTTGTAAATTTATTAATGGGAAGCGTGACTTTATGGTGGAATAAACCCATAGATTGAGCCACTGTCTTCTGTTCAGGTCTTCTAACCAAGAAATTTATCAACTTGATCAAGCATGCTGAAGATGGTATGCTTGATCTTAACCAGGCTGCAGATACTTTGGAGGTGATATATCTTTTAGCTAGAAGTTCTTTCGATGCATTGTTAAAATCTGATTGTAATTTTCTGATCTTACAGGTGCAGAAAAGAAGGATATATGATATAACAAATGTGCTTGAAGGAATTGGTCTTATTGAAAAGAAGCTCAAGAACAGAATACAATGGAAGTAAGCTAGCTTTGCTCGGATATACACACATATCTTCTACTTTGACACTGCTTGCAATGATCTGTCATTAAGCATCTGAAGCTTTACTGATTTGCAAATTCCATAATTACTATCTAGGGGTGTTGATGCTTCTAAACCTGGAGAAGTGGATAATGATGCTGCCATTTTAAAGGTATTTGGATATGTTTCCTTAACTTATTTGATTGCTAAGATAGTGCCTTCTCATCTATGTTATGATGGTCCATGTATAAGAGATATGCACTATTAAATCAGTTTTCACCACTTAAATAGAGCTGCAGTTCTATGAGAACCGTAACTTGAAGTAATGTATTATTGAAAGTGAAACTTTCTAGTGAGTTTCTTGCTATTTCTGCAGGCAGAAACTGAAAGCCTTTCGATGGAAGAGCGAAGATTGGATGACCGAGTTAGGTATGTTGTTTGTCAGCTAAATCAGTAGTTCATGCTTCTTCCTTGAACTATATTGTCATGCTGATGTTTAGATCATTACAGAGAATTGCAAGAAAAGTTAAGGGATATGAGTGAAGATGAAGACAACCAAAAGTAACTTCTTGTACCTGTCCTCACATACATAGTTGTAACCTAGATTGATAATTTGCTCTTCGCTAACAACAATTTCAACTCTGACTGAATTAGATGGCTTTTTGTAACTGAAGAAGATATAAAGAGCCTACCTTGCTTTCAGGTTCATTTTATAGTTTATGTGTTTTCTTTTTTAACCACTTCATCTCTATCGCAGAATGATTACATTTTTAGTGTCCTGTGCTCAAATATCTTATGAATAAGTTTATACTCTTTAATCCTGGCAGAATGAGACCCTCATAGCAGTTAAAGCTCCTCATGGCACCACCCTGGAAGTCCCAGATCCTGACGAGGTAAGTTGAGAAGGGAAGCAAATCCGAGAAAATATATTACATATTTCTTATAGGTAAAATAACATGCTTTTTCTGCAGGCTGTGGACTATCCACAAAGGAGATATAGAATTATACTCAGAAGCACAATGGGTCCAATTGATGTCTACCTCGTCAGGTATTGCTGGCTTCTTGAGCCATAAGCATGTCCTTGTCCTCTTTCCTTTGTAATATTAACTCTTGAAAAATGTTATCTGACTCTCGTATTTTATATTTTCCTTTTGAACTTCATGCTTGATTAGTCAATTTGAGGAGAAGTTTGAGGAGATGAATAGTGTTGAACCATCAATGGCCATCCCAGTTGCTTCAAGTTCAGGCTCAAAGGACAATCCGGCCATGGAGAGATCAGCTCTTTCAAACAATGTTACTGAGAATGAAGGACAAACACAAAATGTTGATCAATTGAGTTCTGATCTTGGTACTTCACAGGATTACGGTGGTGGAATGATGAAGGTTGTCCCTTCAGATGTTGATGTAAGTGTGCTTGTCTTGAACTTGGTCTTCTTGAAAAGACGATGTGGTCTAAGATAGATATGCTTAAGCGCCAAACAAGGCAAACAATGAACATTGTTCTTCACTTCCCGTTTCAAAGTGAATATGATTACTGCCTATACAGAATAAGAAGCTGTATAAAGTTCAGCAATTACATTGTAAAATCGTTATTCTTGATTATGCTTTCTAGACATGACAGATGTAGTGTTGCCATGTGGTAGAAAACGCACTAGTATACTGCTGCTTAAAAGAGGAGAAACAGCTAAAAGAAGAAATTATAGTTTCAGTAGTGATGGCCTGGTTTGGGTTGGCACATTTTTATTTGTAAAATTTGCTGCTAAAGGGGTCCGCTTTATTTGCATTTTCATGTATAACACTTGACACTTGATAACTTTACATAAAAAATAGAATAGAATTCCTTCATTCTGGTGCTAATTGTTAAAATTATAAATGCTTCTTGTTTGTTGCAGAATGATGCAGATTACTGGCTCCTATCAGATGCACATGTTAGCATCACAAATATGTGGGAGGCAGATCGTATCCTTGTTTGTTAGGCTTCTTTCATTTGCAGATCTTGTTTGTTCAATGCCTAGTTTCCTTAACTTCAATAATAGCTGCAGTTGAATGGGATGGGGAAAACTTGCTCCATGAATTTGGAATAGCTGATCTAGGTAGCCCAAGAGCACATACTCCGTCTGCTGTTACTGATGTACCAACCCCAATGAACGTGCCACCAAGATGAGTTACGCTCGCTCTTGCGGATAAGCTGAATTTGGAAATTCCAGTCTAATTTAGTCAGAAACAAGTAATCACCGTCTATTTTTGCTGTTTTGCTCCTTAGATCCCTAAGGGCACTGGACGGTGTACTTACACAAAGCCCAAGGACTGAGACTTTGTACAGTTGCGGAATCTGCTTGACCCCTTTTACATGGTTGATGATACTTGTAACCAAACAGAGCATGCTGAAGGTGCAAAAGGTGGAGTTAAAAGAATAGGAAGGAAATATTGGTTATTTATCAAATTCTTGCTCTTAACACCCTCCTCACCCATTGTCGTTGCTTTTCCACAACGTTTAGGCTACGTGGGAGGTAAAAGTTTTCCTTCCCCAGTAGAGTTCCTTTCCTGTTCGCAGGTCTTCATAACTCAACACTCATCTTCTTTCTGGAATTTAATATTTCCATCAGATATTTCAGGTCCTTAAAGCTGCATCATGATACATTATTATGGGTCTTCCCTTGTTGAGAAAAATATTGGTTATTTATCAAATATCATCTCTAATCAACCTTCATATGCAAGGAGATTCAGGAGCTCAAATAAAATATTTAAAGACAAAATTATCTTACTATTTCACCAATAGATGCTGAATGGTGGAGGTATATATTTAAATTCAGTTAAAGTTACAAAGTTATCTCCACAACAGAAATTTAAGCTTGATATCACAATTTATAATCCTATTTTTTTCAAAAATAGTACTATCAGTTAATTTGAGATTATGGTCTTGAAATAAAATGGCTACTACATAACCCAGAAACGGTAAGATCAAACTTGCCATAAACAGTAGTAAGGAAGGATTTGGCCGGTGAGGGATTGGGGACAGCGATAGGAAGGACATTTTTCTTCTTTCTTTTTCTATTTGTTCTTGTTTTAGATTTTTGCTTTTTCTTTCTGTGACATGTCTTTTTTCCATTGGTCGATTGCCATGTGGATAGCAAGTGGTCCTTACGCACCAAACATAATTTGAGATTATTAAATTTGTGTCCAATAGTACATATTTCTATCACATAAATTGTTTAATAAGTACTTGCCTTAGTTTAAGTGCCTAAATGAAAATAACGGACAAGTTTAGGGTGCCGCATATATATTTCGCCTTGATACAAAGACAAGATTAGAAATGATCATATATGAGAAAGTACAACAACCACAACAGTATAATCCCACTAGTGAGGTCTGGGGAGAGTAATGTGTACGCAGACCTTACCCTACCCTGGGGTAGAGGTTGTTTCCGATAGACCCTCAATATCCCTCCTCCAAGAACTCCCCACCTTGCTCTTGGGAAGTGGAGGGTGCTCACCACTAGAGCAACCCACTCATGTTATGCACATGAAGGAAAACTTGAGAGGATGATAGTTTGTTCATATCTTTGTATACCTACAAATCCATCGATTTGTAGGTTTGACATTATGATGACTGAAACTGTTAAAGGAAATGTTATTGACCTAGAATTCGGTCAAGGTTGGCTATGAAGACTTACAAGCTACTTGAAATCCAAGTAGACTAAGCAAAGAATATAAGAAATGGAAGCAAAAAAATTGTATAGACGTTATAAGTTAGTTGAGATTAAAACTTCTTTGTGTTGGCTCGCTCATATTAGGTTGTTTTCTAAAAATCTTCTGTTTGTTTAGACTTTTGTATGTTTGTATGCAGAGCACTTCTTGTGTCAGAATTCTTAGTTGGTCTAAAAAGACAAATTAGTAAGTATTGAAACGAAACTGCATACCAATGGAGCGAATGAATATTGATGATTGTTATACTCTTATTAGTTAGTCATTGAGATGTAGTAGTAGTTTGTCCAGCATATTAACGAGCATGACTAAAAAGGATAGAGTAATTTCCATACTCCTATTTGGATTTTATTTTGGATTTGCACTAAAATTAAAAAATTCAACCGGTCGTTTTGAGCTTTAACATTTCATTCGGTGGTTTGAGACCTTGAGTAGCTTCATATGATGTATTATGACTTGCGTATATAGTTGGTTTTGACTTTCGAGAGGTTCGGAGTTGATTTGGAAGAGTTATTCTCAATTCGGAAGCTTTAAGTTGGAATAGCGGACCAAGATTTGACTTTTGAGTAAACGACCTCAGAATTGGGATTTGATGGTTTCAATAAATTTGTATGGTGATTTTGGGCGTACGTTCGAATTTGAATTTGGATGTTCCTAGAGGGTTTTGGCTCTATTTGTCGAAAGTTGGCAATTCGAAAAATTGGAGAGTTCATAAGTTTAACCGGGAGCTGACTTCGGTGTTATCGAAATCCTATTTTGGTTTTGAGACGTTGGATAGGTTCATCTAGTTGATTGGAATTTATGTGCAAAGTTTGATTGTGATCCGAATTGTCTAAATATGGTTCGGACGCGTTCGACGAAGTTGAAATATTTGAAAGTTAAGAGAATGATTTGATCTTCGATTCTTCGTTGTGATGTTTCGAGCCTTTGGATAAATTTGGATAATATATTTGGACTTGTTGGTATCACTAGACGGGGTTGCGAGGGGCTCGGGTGTGATTCTCAGTGGTTTCAGACTATTTCGGTTGAGTTTGCATTAGTGGTGTCAGGTAATGTATCGCATTCGCGAGGAGGTTCTCGTGTTCTCGTAGAAGAAGTAGGCTGAATGAGCTTTGTTCTTCGCGTTCACAGCTGTTGGAGTGAGTTCACGTAGTGTTGGGCAGGCTGACTCATCGCGTTCGCTTGAGGTGTTCGCGTTCACGAAGGTGTGCAAGTAGGTAGGATTTTGGATTTTGCGTTTGCGTTAGAGGGATCGCGTTCGTGCTGCATTGGAGTTCTTTGGTCATTGCATTCGCGACTGAAGCTTCGTGTTTGCGAGTGGGGCAGTGTGGTAGGTCGCGTTTGTGCATCGTGATTGCTGGGGCTCTGTCACAGTCCGGGAGGGTACCCTTGGACAGACTTTATAAGTTATGTATTTCGGGATTTTGAGCCCATTTCTCATATTTTGGACCCTAGGCTTGGAGAGGGCAATTTTTCATGGAGATTATTACACAAGACTTTTGGGTAAGTCACTTTCACTCATTTATGGTATTATTTCAAGAATCTACATGATTACTAACACCCAAAACATGGAATTTTAAGATGAAATTTGAGGGTTTTGTCTACACTTTAAAAGAGGTTATTTTGAGGAGTTAAGTACCGATTTGAATTCAGTTTTGGAATCTAATCATATATTTGGAATCGGTAGGTTATGGTCATCGAATTTTGATATTGGTTCCCAATTTGGGCACACGGGATCGGGTTGACTTTTATTGACTTTTTGGAAATTCTTCAAAGATCAAAATTTTATGGATTGAGATTGATTCCTATAGCATTGGATAACTTTCTTAGATGATGTTTAGCTTGGATTCACATAGTTGGATGGCTAGAGCGAGGCTTTAACGCGACTTAAGGTTGAAGACTAGCCCGGATGAGGTAAGTGTCTTGCCTAGCTTTGGTTTGAGGAAATTTTTCCTAATAAATATTATTGTTTCCTACATGCAGGGGTGATGTATATGCGAGATAACGAGCGTATACACATGTTCCATGGTATTCATTCTCGGGGTAGATTCTAGATTACTCTATCCTTTTTTTGGTTGTGGGATTCTACGTGTTCTATGCTTTTACTTGATGGAATGACTACGTGAGAACAATAAGCCATGCTAGAGAAAATACTTAGATTGATGATACTTTATGTTGAGCATGATGAACTATTCTTGAGATCATTGAGATGATTTAGATGTAGTCACACGTATATTATGAACACACATCTATATTTGTTATTCTTATGTTATGCCTTTAATTGATATCTGACAACTTGAGTTTCCTTACCCACATTAAATACTATGATTTGTCTTTTGATGCTTATTGGAGGCTTGATGATTGTTTGGACGATGTATTACTTGTTGGGTCCGTAGTCATACGTACATATCGGCATACATCCTACCTAGGGATCATCCTTTATACACATGCATACACCCATGCATGGTTATTCTCTGTTCATGTGCATTACATATGCTTATCTCTGATTCATATGCATATATTCCTGCATATGGTTCTCGGTTATGGATGGAGGTTATGGCATGAGGTTTCTGCCATACAGTTTTGTGGTAATGATGTTGATTTGGCACGCGAGTTGTCCTTGCAACACATAAGTTATTCGTGCCAATGATATTATTATTGGAGCGTGAGTTGTCTGTGCAACACGTGAGGTGTCCGTTCCATTGATATTATTATTGGCACATGATTTTTCCGTGCAACACATGAGTTATCCGTGCGATTGATATTATTAATGGCACGTGAATTGTCCATGCAGCATGTCAGTTGTCCGTACGATTGATATTATTATTGACACGTGAGTTGTCCATCAAATACGTGAATTGTCTGTGAGGTTGTTACTATTATTATCGGCACGCGAGTCGTCCGTGCGACTGTAGCGCATGAGTTGTCCGTGCCACATGTGGATATGGATCCATCCCTCAAGGGTCTCTCTCTCATGTTTCTCTCTTGATGGCATACACGCAGATTGTGAGGAAGGATCCGATGTGATGAGTTAGAGAGCATAAAGGTGAAAGCTTGGCTATTCAAGTGATTCTTTGTGCGTATTCATGCATTTACATGTTTGCTTCATGCATATCATCTAGATATGCTAGTTAATGCATTTTACATATGCACGAGACTTGTTGGACACTTAGAGGGCGTCAGATTAAGGTAAAAGATAGTTATCATCATACATTGATATACTGGACTTATGTAAAGGTTTCATGGACACGACACTCAGAAATGTATATGGAAGTGGATCATTGTTATGTACATGCATTTTACATTCATGTATGAGTATTTGAGCACACACTACGTGGTGCAACTGAGGAAGAAGTTCAAATTCCTGCTACTCATACTCCAGAGCAGATGGCTCATGGTTATCAGACCCCAACAGTTCTACCAGTTAGGGCGGTTCGACCCATTGTTGCTACACAGCCCCGGGAGAGACCCGCGATGTTAGCTGATAAGATGAAGAGGTTGGACAAGTTCACCAAGTTATTTCCCCCTCACTTTAGTGGTGCATCTTTCCAGGATGCCCAGGACTTCTTGGACCGTTGCCATGAGATTTTGCGCAACATGGGAATAGTGGAGTCCAATGAGTAGATTTCACAACATTTCAGATGCATAGTTCTTTCAAGTGGTGGTGGCAGGTGTACGAGCAGGGCAGGTCAGCGGGATCACCTCCTCTCACATGGCCTCAGTTTTTGCAGTTATTCTTGGAAAATTTTTGTCACTACCCAGACCCACGAAATGACCATGATGACGCCTAACACCCTTTGATAGGAATGCCAACAAATGCGGAGATCAACTCTAACAATAATAAGAAATAACCTCGAACTTTGCGCTATAACATAAATACTAAAATGAAAATATAACTGAAATCCACCCAAAATCTGGTGTCACTAAGTACGTGATCTCTAGAGAGTACGAAATGCAAGGTCTGAATAAAAATACAATAGTGTTAGAAATACATAACAATAATAGTAGAGATA